TAGCGTGTCATGAGTTCGATCCTAGTACCACTAAAGATCCGCCGTGTAGGGGAGCGATGCACGTTAAATCTGTCGAGAGCTCAAACGTCCTCCCGTTGGTGTGGTGTGGTAGTTAGGAGAGGGGGGTGCCAGTTCAGGTGTCGTCCGCGTCACTTGACCATGGTTCAAAATTACGCGGACCGTCGCCAAAAGCCCTCGTGTTGCTAATTCAATGCGACGTTAATATTCTCTCACTCTCACCCAAGTTAATCCTCCAACTTCTTGGAGAAACACGAAAAGTGATCGCTGCTTTACTGTTTTGTCTCGTTAAATTTTTGATGTAAAGTTTTGAGGAATGAGTATTTGGTTGTTGAATTATTTAAGTTTCCGTCTTAGCCAGTAAATTCACTCGTTCGTTGCCTAGGGTCCATTGAAACGCCGTCCCTATATCTTTAAACTCTCCAGGATGACCCGGCAATCTAGGATATTTTTAGAGATACATATTTCCTCAGATCTAGCATCCTGCGAATGCAGCTTTAGACGCCCATAGAATAACTACCTTATTGTACAGGTGTCTAGGGAAAAGTTGTTCTAAAGCCACATAAATAGCCGTAATTTCCTCATCAAAGGCGAGTTTTTTGTTTTCCTACAGGCACATAAAAAGAAAGGACGTAAGAATATATTCCTGTACTCACCTTCGGTGAGAGTTCAGTCAAAGAGTCATCGTTATAATATATAACCATTCATGTTAAGGATAAAGGGTATGGATAGTCTCAAATGCAAGTATCTTAAGCTGCTTTGAGGCAATTGACTCTTGACAAATGGTTAGACAACGTCTAGCTTTGTGGCTCTCTCGTGTCATGGTTTACAGAATTTGGGGTTCTTACAATTTCACCATCAAGTTCCAGCTGTTCTCGTAATTCTAGAATTCTCTGTTAAAAACTATTTTGTGTCTTAGGCTCTGATCTTAATCAATTAACTTCTCAGAATATCTCTCTCTTCACTGTTTTATTCATCATATACTCTATGTCAGTCGAAGGCAAGTGCAAACGCAGATTCTAATAGCGGAAAAAAGATAAAAATGTGTTAAATTTACTAAGACATACAAAGCTTCACCGATGGATTACTGGAAAAAAGTGATGTATGTTGATGAATTCTGTTTAAAATCACATCACGGAGTTAGAATTGGGCAGAAATAGTACGTAAGTGTGTATTTTATACTTTCAATTTGCCATTCCAGTGTTTTAACTCTTAAAGCCTTCAATATGAGTTATGAATTAGTTTACTGACATGATTTGGATCCTTTAATTCGTGTGCAGGGATGTCTGAACAAGGCATCGTACTTTAAACGTCGTTGTGCTGATCGCATACATCCTGTAATTCCGATGATTAACCCAATAACAACAGGTATTTTCAACAGGATAATGTGCCATGTTAGAGAGTGTTGGAATTATATATGATTAATTAAAGGAACACATGTGGCAAATATTGCTTCAAGTTATTGTCCTCCAATCCCCATATCTCACAACTATTGAAATAATTTGAAATATGTGTTCAATATCTAGATTCACAAAAATCCAATTTCACTATTGAAAAATGGTATTGTTCAAAAATGGTCATAGAATTTTCAAATGATGTATCAGCATCTCGTAGGATGCATCCAAAGAATCAAAATTGTAGTAGAGGCAAAATATTGTCAAAAGAGATACCAATGGGAAGTCAAAAGGAAGTGGTCACTTGGTACATAACTGAAGATCAGATAAACTCTTCACTTCTTTCTCTTTTGGACAAATACTGGATACTATTGTTTCTATACTTTAGACTATATCATTGACCTTAGATTATATTTTATTACTTTTGTATTATATTTTATAGCTTTTGAATATTCCTGGCAATGGCTTCTTGAGATTCATTCATAAAACTAAATGGATCTTAGCGGTCAGAAACTATTACTTTGAAACGAAATATATTTCAATCGCAATTTTTATTATTCGATTCTCCATTCCATAAATTTTATTTCAAAGATTATTGTTCTCATAGAACCATTAGAGACATTCTTTATGTTGAGGCATTACTGATGATGATCTTTAATATATTATTCATTTCAAAATCGATATAAGCGTTTTTTAATATTCCAATGATTCAATTTTTCTCCAAAATATTATATTTTTAGGACAATAAATTTATCTTGAACTTGTACATTTGAAAACAAAAAAACTACTCAGTTTCCAAAAAAAAGCTAAGTTTGTCATCATGCTATCAATATAATTTTTTTTGGCTACGGTAAAGTGTTGAAAATACACTGATGCTCAAAATTAAAAGAACTTTTAGATTTTGTTCGATTAACTGTAGAGCTGCAGGATAGATTTTAGTCAAATTTGGTATGTATATAGGGCTGATATATTGCAAAAATAAATAACCATTCAACAGGTAAAATACACACGGATCATCGTGAGTAACTCATCGAAGTCGGTAGGTATGAAACAGCAATTGCAGAACAGAAGAAAAAAATGGTTAATATGAGGGTATGGTCCCCTTTTTCAGATAAACAAGCCTCACACCATGATTTTATCCTGGAAATAAGGGAACTTATGAGTTCCCTTGGCAATTCACCCCATTCGTTCAGCAACTCTGTTTTCAGGCTTTGGATGGTTCTCGAAAGGGGTTGGGAGTTACAGATGTTCTCCCCAGATCGTCCCAGGCATTCCCTCGTAGGGATGAGGTCTGGAGATCTAACCGATCAATCCATTCAGTGAATATCCTAACTTTCCAGAAATTAATTAACCGGATGATATATATGTACATCACGTTGCCATCCATAAAAATGAAATCAGAGCCAACTGCACCCGTGAATAGACGATCATAGGAGTCCAAGACATCATCGCTGTACCTTACAGTAATCACAGTGCTTATTTCAAAGGCATGGAGGTGTGTATTGAACATTACCAGTAGCGCACACAGGAATTTTTCAGGGGGGGGGGTCCAAGGTCGAAAGTCCACTGTTCTTGTACCATGCTTCAATACGTCGCCCAACATATTCTTTTAATTTTGTCAATTTTCGGGAACAAAAAACAGTAAAAAATTAATTAATAAATGAATAATTGGCGTTAATTAATAAAATTAATTATTAAAACCAATACTTAGTAAATTTTTACGTACTATATTCATAGAATTATAATCAATCGAAAAAAATCAAGGGCTTTCGGGTGTGGGGGGGGGGTTCGGACTCCCAGGACTCCTCCATTGTGTGCGCCACTGAACGTTATGTCTTCTCAGCTGATGAAGCCTCTACTTCCGTAATAGTCAATTTCTCGGACATTGAAAAGCGGGTAGCAGTTCTCTGATTTTCTACATTTATTCTTGTCCTATGTGCATACCAAATTTGATTATAATTTGTCCAGTAGTTCAAGAGGTAATTGAAAAAAATCTAAAAATTCTTTTAATTTTGAACACTAGTGAATTTATTTTTGAAAACGGTACTTTAAAATATTTTAAAAAAGTATTCCATAAAAGAAATAGTATGTTGTGAAGCAAAGTAAATAATTGCGAAAAACATCACGCACGGTGCATTTCTCTTTTTATGTGTGTCTGAAAATGGAGAAGCGATTATATTTTTAATTTCTTCAAGACACTATATGAAATAAAATATTGAAGTATTTACTTATATTTTATACAACTTAATATTGTTATCAATTCTAGTAAGAGACGAAGTTGAAGGCGAAACATCTGTGAAAGGTATTAGAAAAGTACTGAAATCCGTAATCATTGTAATTAAATTAATTTAAAATTATATATCTGAAAAAATTTAGTTTTTTCTTGCTAAACTATATAATTTATGATTGGAGATTGTTCATTTTAAAAATGTTATGAATTAATTATGAAAAAGGAGATGCTTCAAATAAACAACAGTTATTTTGACACTTGAAAAATAAGTTAATAATACATTCATATTTTATTTCAAAATAATTATGAATAATTAATGAGAATTTACTTAAGATTTTTATTTATGCTAATAAAATAACGATGTATAACAAGCAATTTCATTTTGTTTCATAAAAGACAAATCTTCGAGAAATGTTTAAAAATTTAAAGAAGTTTTGCCAAATCAAAGAAATACTTAAAAGAAAAATCTTTAGGTTTTTTTTTTTGTTGTTGTTAATTTCTAATGTATTAAAATTGTAGTAGGAAAATAATATAATCAGAATTAATGACATTCAATAAAAGTTTAATTTTCTCAATCAGATGGTCTTTAAATTTTGATTTCTTTTTCAAATCTTTGAACAAGTTTCTAGCTTTATTCCGGTAATATTTACATACTCGTTGGAAAAGTTTATTTGCATGATCTTCCTTTTCCAATATTATTTTAACGATATTCCTTGAACACTAAACATGAGTTTCCTATTGCATCAATATTTTCTCTTAGCAGTTTCTATGCATTTAAAAGTGAATAACTTCCGATGAATCCAGCTTCATATCCTTCAGCTCCAACTATGTGTTTAAATAAACTTCAGTTAAGTAAAAGGGATATGGATATCTACGTATAAGTTTCACAATATATTTGAAGATATACATTTTGAAATAAAATAAACAATCTATATTTGTTTCAAGTTAATAACTATTCAAAGTTTTCGTTTAATCTTTAAACTATTTTTTTCTCATGCCACTAATTTGTATTTAGTATTCTTGAAAGTTTTAGTTGAAATTTTTTATACACCAATTACACCTTAACTTTTTACAAATAAATTATTACGATAGTAAATCGCATAATATTTACACATATGTAGGCAGTTAGTACAAGAAATAAAGTGATGAGTTATTTGTGGTTGTTGTCGTGTGTTTCATACTGGGATACATACGAAACAGATAGCTGAACATTAACATTCAGTACAAACATAGAAGAATATAGACTTTTTACTACAAACGATGATCTCAGCATACAACAGAAGGGGTGCGCTGCTTTCCAATCCAGACGGGAATCCATTTCAGGCAAAAGTCCGACTTCTTTTCTCGAAGTACATCCATGCCTTATTCGGGATTTGAACCCGAACCTACTCGATTACAAGCTGAGTGTCATAACCACCATACTAAGTAGGGTAGCAGTACATTAATTGTAATATTTAAGTGAATTGTAAGCCCAACCTCACCAGAAGCTTTGGCACTTCAAAATTACTTCATGGATAGTAATTTTGATAAATTTGTTGCAACTGTTTTTATATAAAATAAGTGCTCATACGCTTTTGCTGTATTTATAGAATTTTTTCTTAAAACGTGTAACAGCGGTCGGTTCCTGCTTACATTTCTGAACCTCCTTGTCTACCTGCAAACCCGGCTAGATGTGTGGGAGAAACTAAATGATCATCAGACATGATTTCAATCTAATTAATTTATTGTTTCTAAATATCAATCAGACACAATATCAATCTAATTAAAGTAGGTGATTAAATAATAGAGTGCGGAGTGAGATTCTATAACATGAAGATACTACTACTACAGGCCCTCAATTGAATTTAAGACAGCTTAAATACGCTCAAATATAACTACGTCGCTCATTAATAAGTTAACTTCTACTTAATCAAGCTCCCAATACCTGTACTTTTTATGCATCGGATCGTACACGGGAAACTTGCAGGTGATCTTTAGAGGCTTGATTAATGTCGTTGGATCCACGCTCTGTAATCTTTTTCCTGGATAACTCCAAGACCTCTAACTAATTCCACTCTTTTTCAATCTTCAACTAACAACTAACTCGCAGACTCTATGTTACCTCCTACTTGCCAACTCACAAACTCGCGAAAACAGGATTTATATAATATACTTCATTTACATGATCACGCTTCCTTAATCGGAGAAAGTTGGTTGAAATAAATATTTTCCTAAAAGAGTCATGAAGGGATTAGTAGAACCGCGTATAGATCCGTCGCAAACGTTATGGGGATTAGAAGATTTCAGAATTTAGCACAGTGACAACATTTGAAGCAATGCTAATATTGTCAACTTGTACGTAAGTCCTGATTATATAGCTTACAAATTATAAGGAAAGTACATGTTTTTAAAATTATTTTATTCAATTACTTTCAATTTTAAGCAATGAGTTTTGTTCTTAGAATGTTTTTTACTATACTTTTACTATACTATACTTTTAAAATACTTTTACGCTAATTTAATCCTTGTTTTTTCCTTTAAATTTCCTTTGATGTTTTCGAATAATTAAAAAAAGCTATGTTATTTATTTCGCACACTATAGTGACATTATATCCTTTCAATTATGATCAGGAACTTGTGGCTGGCTTGAGTAACTCACCTCGATGTGTTTACTTGTGGAGTAGAGGTTCGAAATATAGTGACGCTTAAGGTCCGCCTTGGGGGTGAGGGCTATTTCACGTTAAAACATTCGATGCTCAAAGCTCTCCTGTTGGAGTGAAGTGGAAAGTCGAAGAGGTTTCGATATTTCACGTGCCATCCTCGTCGCATGACCATGGTCCAAACTGTAAAGTCCATAGCCGATAAGTCTTGCGTTGCTTTGGATTGTGCAATAAGTTAAAATAAAATGAATTGCATCCATTCAGACTTGTTATTTAATGGAAAACTTTGAATATCATGAAAAGTATCACATTTAATCTTATTTTTAACATGTTTCACTACTTGAGTAAAATATTTCCATTTAAAATCAGAATGCCGTAATCTCTGAATGTCCTCCACTTTGTAAGACGAAGAAAACTGAAACTGCTAAGAATTTACTCTTAAGCGCCAAACGATAAAGAAAAATACTTAAAGAAGTCACATTTGGAAATTTAAGTTAGCAGAAAATAAAATGATTCAAAATACATAATTTGGCTAAAACAAATTCGTATTGAGACAAGATAATAAGGTTAATTGGTTATGAACCAACCTAGAAAAGAAAAAAAGTGTTAAATTACGAAAACTCATTAACAAATTAACAGCCGTTCGTTGAAGAACAAAACGCATGATCAAAAAACAAATAACGAATAAATGTTGTGCTTCTGGGTTTAATTTGCTTCTAAAGAAGTTTCTTGTTTACTTCGATGTTTCGCAATGATTGCATTTTGTTCAATTTTTTTAGCCTAGAAGAATTACACTAATTTGTATGTGCCTTATTTAATTTCCTTTGAATCTTAAGCAGATAAACATATTTGTCTCTAGGGAAATCGGCTCAGTTTTCGATAAAAGAAATTGTTTTGCTCTAAAATAATTAACAGGAGTATACCATTTCATTACTCTCTTCGGTATCTAGCCTTAACTTAAAAGTTCTAGAAAATGGAGAAAGTTAGATTTCCTTTACTTTCCATTTTGTGCATCTGGTTTTTTATCTGAATTTTAAAAATATTTAAAGTAGTTCTACAGAATTAATAAAATAAAATCTTCTAAAACTAAGCAATGATTTTATTGATTCTAAGCAATGATAACTATTTTGATTCGATTATAAAAATGATAAGTTTAGATGTCGTGAGAGAATGATGATATATATTTATCGTTAACAAATATTCAAATATTTTTATCATTTCCCTTTTTTTTCCAATTGATTATTGGCTTTTATTTCATTACGTTGATTCTAGAAGCCTCTGTTTCTGGTTTCGAATAGAACTCCCATTTCTCTATATACATATATATTATATAAATGTAAGTATATATACGCTAAATTGACAAAAGTCATGGGTTATATTACTAACCTGTCGGCTTTCCTTTTGCCCGAGGAAGGGCAGCAACTCAACATGGTTTAGATTCAAACAGTCATATTGGAAGTCCCCTGAAAAAATATTAAACCTTGGTGCTTCTACAACCGTCCTTTCTTCTTAAATTGTTGCCAGTGCAAAATTTTGTGCACGAACTAACCTAGGGATTCCATCCTATAAATGATCAATTGGAATGACATAGGACGATCTAAGAGATCAAACCATTCATTGGAATTATCCTGCATGTTCTTCATCAAATCAGTCATGCAAATTATTTCTTCAAACCTGTTGTGAGCCGATAATGTGGTGCATTGTATCCCATAAAAAATTCCTTTGTTTGAATACATGAAGTCTATGAGTGGTCGCAAATTTTCTCCAAGTAGCTGAACATAACCATTTCCTGTCAATTATCGATTCATTTGGACTACCAGAGCACTAAGTCCGTTTCATGTAAAAACAATCCACACCATTATGAACAATCCATTAACTCTTGATCAGTGCCTTATTTACATCTTAGACCCATGCCTTCTTGGTGTTTGATCCGCACTAAAACCCTACCCTCACTTCTTACTAACTGGAAACGTGTCTCATCTGAGCAAACTTCACTTATCTAGTCGTCTAGGGTTGCTGTAAGAAATGTCGTGCTGTTAGTAAAATCACTCGCGTCAGTCTTTACTATCATTTCCCATTAAAGCTAAATTCTACTCCATTGCCCTATTGAACGTACACATCGTATGTCCCACATTGATTTTTGTGGTTACTCCACTCAGTGTTCCTTTTTTGTTAACACTTACAATGCTATGCACACATCGCTGGTCTCGGTCGTTAAGAGCACGAGGTAACCCATAGCGTTAACCATCGTAGGACATTATGCCAGAAATCAGGTATTCATGCCACACTCTTGACACTGGACCTTGGAATGTTGAATACCCTAATGAATTCCGAATCCGAATGCCCCATGAGACTTGCTTCACCAATCCTTGCTCAAAATCTGCTGGTTACCATCGTGCGTCAATAATAACGTCAGAAACTTTTTCACGAGAATCACTTGAGCACAAATGAAAGTCTTTCCAATGCACTGCCCATTTATACTGTTTGTACGCGATACTACTGCCATATGTATACTTGTATGTTGCTATCCCATAATGTTTGTCACTTCAGTGTATATTCAGAACAAAAACCATTTAACTACAATATTTTCTCAGGAAGAGTCAGAGAATCTAAATTATTTCTCATAAATCATTTTATTAAATCTTTATTATATTAAATATTCATCATCATTATATTATATCTTTATTATTCATAAACGAGAAAATTCCGTCTTTTTAAATGTTGAACACACTTTATCCTGTCATTTTGTGACGGATCTATACGCATCTTTCCACTAACCCTCTGGGAAATTCTTTTCGGTCAGCATTTTCAACTAATCTTCTCCGAAAGGCAGAAAACGTGATATGCAAATTAAGTTTAATATATATATATTCTTTATTGCGTGTTTGAGAGTTAGTGAATTGTGAATAGATTAGAAGTGAGGTAAATTGGCAGTTAAACGTATGCGTAAACAAAGTAAGAAGCCAGAAGTTTGGAAACTAAGAAGGTGATTATATTAGCCAGCGGGAAGTGTTAAAGTCAACTTTAAGCAAATAGAAGACTGCAAGAGTTCAGGTACTGTGATCTGAAATCAAGTCGATGCTTAGAAAGTGAACTATTAGTGCGGCCATTAAATACGTAAGCTCTGTATAAAGTTATATTAAAGATAGAGCTGCATGATTGAATATATTATCCCCAACGCAACCTCGTCTTTCTCCCATTCTATTACTGATTAGTTATCGTATTCTTAGTGTTATTTGTGTTTGATTGTTTAGAGTGATAAATAAAATAATTGGAAATCATCATGTCGTATGATCATTTAGTTCCTTCCTCACTTTTAGCCGGGTTACAGGGTAGAAGGGATGCAAAGTAATTATAATTTCACTTTATTTTTCCTAATCACTATTCTGCTGTTAAGTCACTGTTTTATATAATTGCTCGAAACTTATGTAATGGCAATTTCGCTATGTTTTGATTTTTAAATCTCCCATGGAACGGGATTTTAACTTTTAAATAAAATTTGCTTCTGCTTCCAATCATATAAAACAACATTTGAGACATGGTTTTAGCAAAATGTTATTTTCTTTTATGTTTCTAGTAATGATGTTTGCTGAAAGAAAACATATACGAATGCAGAATTTTCACAGAAAATTACACATTGTCTTTCAAGTTTTCTGAACACATTGTGTAGTATTTTGTCCTCTAATGAAGACTTTGCGTGGTCTGGTTCTTTTCCTGCATGTTCAATAACCGGAAGAACTTCCTGCATTATACGAACGATCGAATGATTGATGACCTTGCTTACTTTTGACAG